TTATTCATAATGTAATATTTCCGAGTACATACTCATTAATAATTAATGAGGCTAATTAATGCTAGGTAGTCTGAGGACTGGATCCGAATTATTCACTACACTTGTATTTCAGTAGGTATTCACTATCATCATTTGGCCCAAATAGAGTAGGTAATTTCCTCATGAATTATTAATGAGTATGGGATTGTTATATATACGTTATTTGGCACGCAAAGAGTAGGCTGGGAGGCCACCACTCAAAATGTCTGGCAGTGGCCATCTTGGTATAATACTGAACATTTTGCACTAAGTTTCATCGGGTTTATCTAGCTCATTTTGGGGGTTCAGTAGATTCAAGGACGTCTGGCGGACCCACCCTCCTGATAAAATTGTCTGTCAGTGGTCATTTATGGCTCCCGACACTATCCTGAACATTTTGCACTAAGTTTCGTTGGGTTTCCTCACCAGCTGATCTAGCTCAATTTTGAGAGTCACCATTCGAGGACGTCTGGCAAACCCACCCCCCTGATTAAAATGTCTGTCAGTGGTCATTTATGACTCCTGGCACTACGCTGAACATTTTGCACTTACTTCCGTCGGGTTTCCTCACCAGCTGATCTAGCTCAATTTTGGGGTCAGCATTCAAGAACGTCTGGCGAACCCACCCCCCTGATGAAATTGTCTGTCAGTGGTCATTTATGGCTCCTGGCACTATGCTGAACATTTTGCACTAAGTTTTGTTGGGTTACATCACCAGCTGATCTAGCTCATTTTGCGGCTTAGTTTCTCACTCCCCCCTGACCACATCCACCAGTGTGTGTCCGGCAGACGTCCATTTTCTTAGATCACTAGGTACATAGACCAATGCAGTATGCATAAAAATTGGTAACCTTTTCAGCTAAGCTCACACCTCTGGGCTCCCGGTCTAATAGCCTCCTCCACAGCCATCTTGTGTGTAATTCATATTGTTCTTCACCGAGTATTTCATAATAGGGATAGATTTCATGCAAACAATCCGATAAATGCTGGTTCCAAGAAGAATAGATTTAGTTTAGATTTTTAACTGTTAAATACATGTATGCATCATCGTAGCATGAATATTTCTTCCCAGAATTATTCTGTATCGTATGAAAAAGCAATGCAATTTTGCGAATGCGGAAATGGTATCTCATAGAACCTGAAATGATTTAAATGCAACATTTCTGATCAAAATATCACATTGAGATTTCCTCCCCCTCCCCCCCCCTCCCAGCATCACAGAGAGGAAATAAGGTGACACTGACCCCTACTCCTATTTTTCAAGGTGACTTTTCCAATTTATTTAATTCCGAGTAGAAATGTCTGGAAAAATTCATGTCTTCGATAAAAATAAAAACACGTTGGCTACGGTATATATACTGTAATAATGTTTATGAGTTAAAATGATTTTTAAATATTAAACCCCATACCTATCTTTAAATCTCCATTAGTTGTAATGATTTGGTTATTTTCACAAATCACAATGCACATTTGTAATGACGTGTTTATTGCGTTTATATTGTTTATATAAAGTTTACCACACTTGAAATACAGCTGACTTGTATGTATTGCAGTTTCAGATTTGTACGTATCTTGTCTATGATATAGTGCTCACCTGCGTGCAGGGGACGATGAGAAGTAAGGTATCACATTGCTAATTATGCTGGGAAAATAAAAATGGTGGCCGTGTAAACACGGAGTGATAGCTTATACTTGTAAATATTGAAATATTTCGGTTGTTTCGGTAGTTTTTATTGAATTTTTTCAGCATAATCGCAATATGATACCTTACTTCCCATCATCCCCTGCACGCATAAATTAAAAGCTGGAATTGACTATTACTCATTCAAGACAAGCAAAACAAACGAAAAGTACAGCAAACGGGTAGAATAAACCTTATTCATAAGTCCACTCACATTTATATAATTAGAATATATGAAGAAATATAAATTAAATTTTAAAAATCTGCCCGAATGGGGATGATCGAGCGGTTCGTGAAAAATTATCAATTACCATAAAAATGTGGGTTAATTAATAGGAGATCATTACTGCAGATGTACTGTACCAATAAGTCCCAATATGTCCTATTGTTTCTTTCTTGTCTAATAAACCACTGATTCAAAAGTCTTTTAATTTTAAAGACAACATTTCTTCTCGCTTCCTCTCCCCTATTCAAATTCTCATTTGGTCAAGTTTGTTGAACAATGTCAAACGAGCGAGATCTTGGAAAATACCTTGATTAGCCTCTATAACTTTTTGGTAGGGGGAAACTATTACCAAACTTTGAAATACAATTATACCATTGCTCTAGATAGTTGGTGCATACTCTCTAGTCTCTAAAAAAACTCTAGTTAAAGTTTTTTGTGATCTATATAGGAAAACGATTTATCCCAGCCTTGAAATTTCCTGATTATTTTATATATCTTTTAAAAGTAGACGTGTATTTAAAATTTCACAGTAGATTTGATAAAATTAAAGTGCTTCAATCTGCTCTCTTTCATTTTCTTCATCTTCAATCAATTGGGTCAATCGCTGGCTGAGACGACCAAGATCTGCGATGCATCTATTTTCCACGTCAGTGAACGAAATAGGATTCCACATTTCCACTGACTGGGTGATATCAGGCAATAGATTCCTCATTTTTGTTAACACGTCTTCATGGTTTTGATTCCACTGTGCTTCACGCCTCGCTTGCAACCACCGATTGTTTGCATCCCTGCTTTGGGTTGTATTGCGTCAGATATGCAGCCAATTTATGAGCCTTGGGAAGATTTCATCCTTTCCAAATACCCGACCTCGTGGATACACGAACAATGCTAGATTTTCTTCAAAATTCTGCAGAGCATGTTTAATTCCCCTCAAAAACAAAAAAAACATTTCTGCATTTCTCTCTCAACGATGTCATTTCATCTTTCAATCGAACCATTTCTCTTTCAAGGACTGCCAGTCTCTCTTTTGCATCTCCTGAGGACGTGATTTTTCCATTTTTACGTTTATCTGCCATCAATGTAGATGCACTACCTGCAAGTACATATTTATTTATATGAAGTAGAAACTGACATATTTGACGAAAAGTTAAGAAACGTCACTTAGAAGTCACACATTGAGGTGGCTCGATATAGTTATCACAAGAGCCCTGCTCAAGAATCGCGAACTCAAAACCGAGTGACCATTTTCACGCACTGGTCGCGGACACTGATTAACAAAATGAAAGAACTTCCAAAATGACCTGACGTGAGCAGTTGTTCACGCCATATCCCGCCATTAATTGCGCGTGTTCTATAGCGTTTTATATCAATTGCTGACGTCATTAAAATTTTCCATTTTAGAAAAACAATGCGCTATTTTGTCTGGTGACCTATGTTCAAATTTTGCATGCTGTATTGCACTGCTAAAAACTTTTATTTTACAAAAATTTAAAAAATTCTGTAATGCCAAAAAAAATTTACCGAAGAATATGACATTTTCGCATTTTCCAAAAAAATGACATTACAGAATTTTTTTATATTTTGCTAATTGTTAGCTTTTCGTCCAAGTAAAATAATGCACGAAAAAAATTGGGGGTCAGCATGCTTCTTTTCCAACTATACGAGACGAAACGCCATTTTGGAGTGAATTTCGTATACGTATGTCATCATAGCAACGAACTATCTGTTACTAAAACTAATATAATTTGAAACTATGTAAACAACCCAATACCTGTTGAATAAATCCTAAAAATACGTAGTTTGAACATGTCAAAGTGTTGAACACCTGAATTTTTGAAAACTGTATCCAGCCACCTTAAAGCAAAACATTTTTGCGGCATATGCAAGTTCAATAGACCTTGTGCATAGTGAGGTCACAAGGCTTGATGCCCGCGAGGAATGGTGGCCTTCGTAGACATCGCCCGGGAAAAATTAAACAATTCAAAAAGGCCACTATCGAAATTTTTCCGGGAGATGACTAGTAAGACCAGCATTCCTCGCGGGCATCAAGTCTTGTGACGTCGTTATGCATAAGGTCTATCTATGCAGTTTTTCAACATTTTTATTTTGTCATTAAAACAGACATAGACAGGGCTTTGTCGTTGCATGCAGCCTATTCAGTTGTAACGATGTCGCCCTGGCAGCTCGGGTAGCACATTTTAGATGTATCAATATATAAAGCAAACAGACAAGTACAAAATATAGTTAATAACGAAAGAACTTTTATAATAATGCTTATGCAACGAAGTTTCACACCATTTTTTTATTGCATGTTAAACAAAGTCCAAAATTTGAAGGCCTTATATCTTTGTTATTTTGAAGTGAAATTATTAAACGGAAATGATCAGCACGATTGTGTTGTACGAAAAATAAACATAGGTTGTTTGTTTCTCAATCTCGTTCGCAGGGCTTTTCCCTTTTCGTCATTGGGAAGGCGGGAAAAGCCTCCTTTTCCCGCCTTCCCAATGACAAAAAGGGAAAAGCTCTGGGAACGAGGTCGATTGTTTGTGATTTCGCTACTAAAATACAAGCGTAGACATAAATCAAAACATTCATGATGCCTCATTATTCATGCATGACGTACCGTGTCAGAATTAAAAGTCTCATATAAATATAATTATTGCTTGCCGCGGAGTAAGAAATAATATATCCAGTGAGAGACAACAATTTAGCTGCATTCAGAGGAAACGACACAAACACATGCAAGCATGTCCTGCCCGCCCACTCTAATTCCAAACGCCTCCGTTTCAATCCACTTTCAAAACCGTCTTTGATTTTTAGGGTAAATAATCAACGAAAATGCACACAAAAGCAAAAGATAAGTGCATGTGGATTGGGCTCGTGTGAGAGAATTTGTTCGTGTGAACGCATACTACAGCATGTAACCTTTTCGTGCAAACTATTTTTCGCTTAATCTTAATTATACAATTTCGTATAACTATCATCTGCGCAAATTTGAACACTGCTGTAGTTCGATCTATACTTTAATAGATTTGCTTGAAAATATTTCCTTTTTTTAAAAATGACAAGTTGACTCACCTTTTAAATTTTAGAACTAGTTTTAATAATGTAATTTTTGCAGTACTGCATTCAGTGTATTTCACAAACTCGATGATTTCCAAAGACTATTATACCTGCAGTTTTCTCGACAAGTTTTGAAGAATGTTTTATCAAGACTGTCAGCAGTGCATTTTATGCTAACCTTTCCGGGCAGTTTTCTAATTATAGCTATCAGGGAAATTGAGCTGGGTTTTCAATAATTCGTGACATTGACTGACGTAGCATTATTGATGTTACATTATTTATTATATTACTTTTATTTAAAAACATCGAATGTTGACAGTATTGATCATGCAGCCAACCCATTTTAAATAAAGACTTGAAAGGCCTGCAATCTATATTCAAATATGAAACAAGAATGCAGAAAGATTATGGGTATAATCATATAGTGTGTACTTAGAAATCGTAAATTGCAAATATAACGTTGCAAAAATAAAAAAAGGGAATACAAGTTTAGTTTCGCAACACGATGCGTCAGTTGCTGCATATATAGTTGGTTGGATTTCAGTGTTTGAAAATTGTATTAATAACTATTGATTACTAAAGATAATAATTTCCTCATAACCCTTTCGTGCAAATAATTGAACTGAAATGTTTTAAATTTTTTTTTGCAATACGCATTTTGCCTTAACTTTCTTTCATATGCTTGACCTACCAAACATGCAAAGTTATGGAATATTTACGGTTTCTCGGAAGCTTTCACTATTAAAGAATTGATCACCCAAGCTTGGCATGACTAGATTTTATCAGATTTTATTAATAAGACTTTATTATTAAAAATGACTTCGGTGGCGCAGCGTCATTTCATATTATTTGAACTGATAAAGATTCATCAGGGCTAACGGATGACTCGAAAACGACCCGGAAATTAATTCTGCAATGTATAAATCACCGGAAACTATGTTTGTGGTCAGAATCAGAGGCCGCGGAACCATTTCGAAAGTGGAGGGACATTGACCAAAAGGAGCACTTTTGTATATGACCAAAATCAAACGATTTTATGACGTTCACGAGCCGAACGAAAATTTTTGAAAATATAGAGTCTCTATATCGTCGGAAATGGCCTTTACAGAGTCTTTACTATTGCGAAAAAAGCATTTTCTTTCCAGAAAAATTGGGCGTTTATTCAAGAAATACTTTTTTCGTTCTTTAAATGAGGCATTAAAGTCCAGAAAAAGGGCACTTTCTTCACTTTTAAAAAAGTGTGTGTGGGGGGGGGGGGCATGCCCCGATCCCCCCCAGGTTCCGCGGCCCCTGGTTAGAGTACGTAGAATTTACAACATTTCAATAAAAGTTGTCACGAAATACAAATGTTGTACGAATGTTGTCGAATGTTATGAGTTCATTGGCGAAGTAATTTTAAAAGTCAATGTTGTCTAAGCCAACAAAACCAAAACAAAAGTTAATTATAAAGTTTATGCAAAATTAACATGATTTTTTATCACATATAAAACCAACCGACACAGTAGTGATTTCTTTTGACTTTTTCTTATAACTTATTAATGCATTAAACTTCTTGAATTATAATAGCCAGCATTACATACAATTACCTTAGGTGTGTGCCAGAGCTTGTACAATGGTCGTACTTCTAACCTGTGGTTACTCCTAGTTCATTATTATTAATATATAATTTCACTGAATTATATGCAATGTTTCATAATGTTCCATAATTAATTACATTAATTAATTAAGGCGACTCTGAGTCGTTTAAAAACTTTCATAGATACAATTAAATCCATTTTTTTAAAAAAATAATGAAATCGTTAGAGTGTTTCAATAAGCTCTCTTTCATTTTCCTCATCTTCAATCAATTTGGTCAAACGCTCACTGAGACAATTAAGATTTGCAATGCATCTCATCTCTATTTCAGTGAACGAAACAGGATTCCACATTTCAACTGACTGGGTGGTACTAGGCAATAAATTTCTGAATTTCATTAAAACCTCCTGATGATGTGGGCTCCATTGTACTTCTTCCTGCTTGATTTTCAACCACTTGCTGTTTGCGACCACGCCTTGGGGTGTATTGCGTCGTACGTACAGCCAATTCATAAGCCTTGGGAATATTTCAGTTTTCCCGAACACACGGCCTCGTGGATAGAGGTACAACGCTAGATTTTCTTCAAAATTCTGCAGAGTATGTTTTTCCTCGAAAACAAAGAACCAATTTCGGCATTGCTCTTTGTACGATTTGAATTCATTTTTCAATTGAAGGACTTCTCCTTCAAGATCTGCCACCCTGCCAACCCACGAGTAACCATCATCAGAATGGCTGCCATTTTCATCAACGCCTCGTGGTAATGCCACTTCTCGCACAGCAGCCTCCATTTCATTTTTTAACTTTGTGTTTCCACTTGAATACGGGTGTGTTCCATTTTGATGTTTACTCGCCATTGTAGATACAACTCCTGAAAGTATGTACTTATATGTGAAATGTAATATGAAATATAAATACATAGGCTTTAATTTGTTGTCGGTAAGTTACAGGTAAACTACAGTACCGTTCCTCTTTTGAGTTCCTAATTCATTTGGAATTTTCATAATTAGCTTTGCAAATTTGAAAAACTCTTTGCAAATCCTTGACGGAATTTTCAATGTCCCTGTCGGCCGTTGCAATATTCCAACACAAAGAAAGTTCCTTTCAAATTTTCCTAACTTCCTGTTTTAATTTCCCGAGTTCCTGTTCTGTTCTGAGCGTTATCATTGGCGGATTATTTTTGTTAGCCAATTACAACGCGCAGAACAGAACAGAACAGAACAGAACAGGAAGTTAGGAACTTGTAACAGGAATCTTGTTTCTAAAACTTTCACCTTTGTGGTTCATAATCTATTCCTTATTTTTATTTCTCAAGAATATATACAAAAGATCTAACCATCCCTCTTCAATGAAGAAAAGTATAATTAAAGGATTTGCAGATCGGGCTCGAGCATTACGCGATCCTGCATATGTAGAAGAGGAACTGAAGAACATCGAGGATGTGTTTGTGGCTAATAGATATGACAGAGAGACAGTGAAACGGTATGTGAAAAGCAAAGGGGAGTGAGTTGACAGAGTTTAAAGATGATACGAATGAGTCTAAAGAGTCTAAAGATGAGGAATGTTGTAGAAGAATGGTGGTTATACCATATTTACAAGCCAGGAATGTCGCAGCAGTTCAAGAGAGTCACTAAGAAACATCGTTTCCGTACCGAATTCAGACCTGGGAATAAAGTGAGACAAATGAAAACAAAGGCACAAAAACCACTAGGAGAGAAACCGAAGACTGTTGTATACGAAGTTCCTTGCAAATGTGTTGAGGCGGTTTATGTAGGAGAGACTTGGCGCTTATTTGGAGCTAGAAAGAAAGAGCATATGAGTAAAGTTTGGTTGACGGGAGAGGACATAAAGAATGGGGAACTAGAGTCGGCGGAAGAAAGAATGGGTAAGGAAGATGGAGGTTTGGCGAGACATAGCGTTGATTGCGAGAGTGGGATTGATTGGGAAAAGGCACGAGTGATAACAACTGAAAATGGATTAAAACAGAGGAAAGTAAGAGAAGGAATTGCGTCTTTACGAGAACAATATAACGGCTACACGGTTTTGAACAATTTCGAACAATTGGTGATATGGAGACCATTGTTAGGTAACTATTTTAAGAAGGAACATGTAAACAAGAACACGCGCACGCGCGCGCAAGTGGATAGTGACGCGCGATCGAACTAACGTGACTGACAGTTAAAGTCGTCAGCACTTTTAAATATTACGTCACAGAATAGGAAGGTATAGCAGAAGCGTAACTCAAGCAAGTATTTGTCCGCGTTTTTACAAGCGATTCTTCATCAATCACGCCATCCTGGCTAGTACAACCGGCACTTTGTACCTACCAAAACCTGATAAAAACTTCCGGTTGTACTAGCCAGGATGACGTGGATTGGCGTGAACGAGTTAAAATTTTCGTGGACGTAAAACAATAAGGAAAACGACTAGAGTTACGCTTCTGCTATACCTTCTTATTCTGTGATTACGTTAACAACAGTTGTCGCCTGAAGACGGACATTTAAAATGTCCGAAACGTTGCAAATTTAAATAAAGTAACATTTTGTATATATCCTTGAGAAATAAAAATAAGAAATAAATTGTAGCAGGAAGTTAAAAACTTCTAACAGGAACTGAGGAAAATTTATTTGGCTCTTAAGAACATCATTGGAAATTCCCTCAAGGGATTTGCAAGGGAGTTTTTCAAATTTGCTAAGGTAATGAGGAAAATTACAATCAAGTTAGGAACTTAAAAGAGGAACGCTTCACGTAGTTTATCTGTAATTTAAGGGGCATTTTAGAGAGTTTCATGAGCAAAACAGCGATTTGACGGAAGTACAAAAACGTACTTAACAATTTTTCCCCATCTGCAGTGGGTTGTTTTATACATACTGATTTTAATGTTTATTTCAAATTAAGCCTAAACAATCACCAGTGGTTATTTTGACTTACGTCGCCTCTGATTCAATACATAACTGGAAAAGGTAAGTTAACTATAACGGGCGTTGGTATTGGTTCGGTTTATTTTCAAAACATTAAAAATATGCAAAAGCCTCGGCAAAAGCGGCCTTGGTTTGCCCGTTTGAGCTGTAATATCATATTCTGCGGTAATTTAGTAAGAGTTAATTACCGAGAAGGAGGGCTTTATGCTATATACAGCCCCGAGAACGCGAAGCGTTCGAGGGCTTTATATAGCATAAAGCCCGACGACATTCGAGGTAATTAACTGACTTAATTATTTCATGATTGAAGAGGTTTTCTAACAAAGTTTTATTCTTTTTTTTCGATTTCGACAAGTATTTTTCTAGTTTTCTCGCTTATTTCTTGACTAAT